AAGAATTTTTTAATCTCCTCCTTGATATCTTTTGCAACCCATTGTTCATTCAGTAGCATATTATTTAGTCTCCACGTGTTGGAGTAGTTTTTTTTTTTTTATCACTGATTTCGAATTTCATTCCATTGTGATCTGATAGAATACAGGGTAGTATCGCTACATTTTTGTATTTGTTACGAGTTGCTTTGTGGCATAATATAAAGTCTGTTTTAGACAAGGATCCATGTGCTGCTGAGAAGAAAGTATATTTGCTTGTTGAAGGATGAAATATTCTATATTTGTCACATAAGTCTAAGTTATTGATTGTATTATTGAGTTCTATAGTTTCTTTGTTCAGCTTTTTGGAAGATCTATCCAATGGTGAAAGACGTGTGTTAAAGTCACCCAGTGTTGTTGTATTGTGGTCTGTTTGACTCTTGAACTTGAGAAGAGTTTGTTGGATGAACATAGATACTCCATTGTTTGGGGCATATATATTTATAATTGTTAAATCTTGTGGGTATATGGTTCCCTTGAGCTGTATAAAATGTCCTTCTTTGTCCCTTTTGATTAATTTTAAAGTCTACTTTATTTGATACAAGGATGGAAACCCCTGCTTGCTTCTGCAGTTCCATGTGAGCAATATGAGTTTTCCCAACCTCTCACCTTTAGTCTGTCTTTTCCTCTGAGGTGAGTCTCTTGGAGGCAGCATATTCTGTATGTTAGACATTTTCATTATAATGTGCCTTGGTGTGAATCTGTTGTGATTTTGTACATTTGGTGTCCTGTAAGCCTCTTGAATTTGGTTTTCCAATTTGTTTTTCATGTTATTATTTCATTGAATAGATTGTCATTCCTTTGGTTTGGAACTCTATGCCTTACTCTATCCCAATAACTCTTAGATTTGGTCTTTTTATGCTATCCCATATTTCTTGAATATTTTGCTCATAGCTTCTTACTATTTTCACTGTGTGGTCTACATTCTTCTCAAGATTATATATTTTGTCTTCATTGTCTGAGGTCCTGTCTTCTAAGTGGTCTAATCTGTTGGTGATGCTTTCAGTTGAACTTTTAATTTGGTTTATTTTTTCTTTTATTTCAAAGATTTCTGTTTGGTTGTTCTTTAGAATATCTATCTCCCTATTAAAGTATCTTTTGCTTCCTATATTTGCTTACGTAGCTCTTTGTTGAAATGATCTTTTGCTGCCTGTATTTGCTCTCTTATATCACCCTTAAATTCACAGAAACTTTTAATCATGTACATCCTGAACTCCTTATCTGTCATTTCCTCTGTTGTGCTGGCCATGGATTCTAATGATGTGGTATCTTGATTTGTTTGGAGCACTTTCTTCCCTTGTCTTTTCATGTTGCTTGTGTCTTTTCCTTTCTATCTCTATAGATCTGAGGTGTTACTGTTTTTACCCTATAGGTTTATAGTGCCCCTATAGGGTTCCAATACCTCATCTTTGAGGGGAAGGACAATATTAACAGATCCCAATATAAACAAAATACCACCTAAAAACAAATAGTTGTTATTAAGACGTTTATAGTTTGGTCACAGTGTACAGAAATGGTGAATTCAATTATTATCTACAATATGATCAGTAGGTTTGTAAAAGGGTTTACAGTTTCTGATCGTGTACACAGAACCAGGGGTGAGGTGTAAGGTGATATGCTGAGGAGGTAGGAGGTGAGGCTATGGAGTTATTATATCTCAGGAAGTGTGAAACAGAAATCTAAAGAAGAAGGTTAGTAGCAGGAGAGTAGAGAGGCAGTAATTTGGGGTAGACAAGTAAGAGGGAAGACGATAGAGTACATAAGACAAACCCATGTATTAGAAAAATAAAAAATGTTAAAATAGTAAAAATTGGAGAGAATAAACAAGAAAAAGAATATACAACACAACTGTAATATACCATTCAGTCATCTCAATCCTCAATATCCTAATTCATGCAAAGTACTTGATTTCACATATGTTGGGGATGTGAGGGCGGGAGAATAAAGAGGGAGAAGGAAGGGAGAAAAAAGGATTGTTTTCGTTGGAGATCAGTATATTTCTTACTTCCCTTCTCATCCAGTAGGTGGGGTTGTCAGTTCTTAGTTGGCATCTCTGCCCTCAGGATGGTGTGGGTTACCAGGGTGTGATGGTTGGTCTTGGTGCAGGGCACCTAGAAGTGGGGTATGGCACCTGCCCGTCCTGTTGGGAGACTGCACCTCAAGGATCTCCTTTGGGGTCTGCTCCTGTGATATGGGCGCCTGGTCTTATTTCCTCATCTTGCCTATAGACCTCATAGTTTGTGCCCTCTAAATCAGTCTCTAAAGTTATCTCCCGGACCCTCTCCCTTTCTACTTCCAACCAGGAACCTTTCTCTCTGGGAATCTTGTGTGTTGTACTCTGATGGTTGCACACCTGTAGCAGAGGGTTGTTTTGTAATAGGCACTCACTCTGCTGAGTTAGCAGCTGCCGGGGCTTGGGGGGCAATTAGAAAACTATGGGTACCTTGCTATCTCATGTTTCAAACTTGTAGTTGCCCAGACTAAAGGTGGTGATGGAGATGACCCGAGATGGAGGCTGCTGCTTTCAGAGATGAAATGTCAGGTCAGGTGGGAGGAGCCGGGCGATGGCGTTGTACCATCAGTTCAGAGATGAGCTCTGAGGCATGCAGTATGTTGCTTACAGCTTTCTTCAGAGCTTGTGATATCCCCAGGTGCAGGCAGTTTATCTCCAATAGGGGACTATAGCAGTAGCTTCGAGTCCCAAGATGGAGGTGACCTGGGGGTCCACATGGGAGTTGCACCCGGAGTTCTTGCATGTAGGTAGCAGCTTAATGTCCTTTGTGGGAGCAGCGACTGGGAATTCTGTGCCAGCGCTGATGCTGGTAGTTGCACTAAGGCATCCAGAGACCTGCATGGGAGGGTAGTCGGGAGTCAGGAGTCCTTTTGTAACACTTGAGGTCTGAGTCCCTGCGCAGCAAGGTGGCCATGATTCCTATGCGGGATCAGCTGTAGAGGGGTCCTCCGTCACTCTCACCAAAGCAATATTCCCAGAAATTGAAACCCGGGTCACAGGGCGACACAGAATGCTGCCTCCTCTGGCCCATCATCTTGGATCTCCCAAGGTGAGAACTCTTAACCTGAACTTTGGATCTAGTGCACACAGAGCAGTGCCTGCCCCTATTAGATATACTTATTCCTTTTTTTTTTTTT